AAGAATAAAAATATATTAGCCTCCCTCCCCTACACGGCCTTACATACGCAGCTAGTGACATGTCAGTTGTTTCCCTGTATAGCTCTTGCTCATGACAATGCTTGCAGCGCATGTACAACTTATATATATATATATATAAGAGACGTATATAAGAACATATATATATATATATATATGTATATATGTTCTTGTTACAAAAAGTGGAGATGGTGCCAATGGGCTAGCAACGGCGTCAGTCTTGCAAAAGTCGTTTGTGAAGACACAAGTCGTAGTCTCAAGGCTCAAGGCGTTGGTGCTTAACTGTTTTATTGGCTTTGAATATTTAATTTTTTCACGGTAGTTGTTCCCTGTTGCATTATTTATGCAGATTGTATACACTTTCGATTTCGTATAACATTTTTAAGTGAATAATGATTAAAAACGCAGTGTTTTTTTTTTGCCAATAAGTCAGTTACGGTTCTACTAGCTCCGATAAAATCCATTATCGTCACTTAATTTTTAAAATCTTCACGTCGGGTTGAATTTTAAATGAAATCATTTGGTTTCAACTAAATGATCAGAGTATCGAATTTTTAGAAATTTAGATAATGTAGAAATTTCAAACATGTATATGTTATAATAACATTTTTTGCTCGTAAAACGTATTGCGATAGTCACTATCTTTTGGATCATGTTATTGCCATTTCTGTTGCTATTTATGTTATTGTTACTGATACAGAAGTTTTTATTTATCTCAGAAATTTGGTTATTATTTAAATGTATTTAATCATTTAAATCGTCTGCAGAAGTCAGCTTGACCAGCAGCCATTGGTAGCTTTTTGTCAGTCATCGCTGTTTTTTATAGCACGTGTTTGTTGTTGTTGCTGTTGCTGCTGTTGTTGTTGATGATGTTGTTGTTTGTGCTTTTGTTTCTTGGCCTTGAAGCTTTCTGAAATTGCAAGCAACGAAATTGCACGATTTATGTTCTATCATTTTTATTGTACCTGAATTTTAATTGATAATCTGACTTTGAAAATTTGCGATTACATTCGAGTTGAAATTTTTAATTCGAAATTTTTAATTATTCGAAATTTTTTAATTAAAAAACTCACTTTGACTTCTGTTTCTCATAATTTTCGATAAGTTTGTGAGCAGCATTGTCAAAGTCGTTGACGGTATATACCACAAGTTTATTTAAAGTCTATATAAATTGCGAGAATTTACTAGAAACCTTCTTAAACAACTTGCAAGAATATCGTGCATTAAGTGGAAGTTTTTTTTATAATGTCCTGCTAATGGAATACCGACCGCTTCCAGAAACTCTTGAGAAGAAATTTGAAATAATATAAAATAGAAAAATAGTTTTTTAGGATTTGAAATAATATGAAATAGAGGAGTAATTTGTTTTTAATATTTGAAATAACAGGAAATAGTCGAGGTGTAATTTGTTTTTTAGGATTTGAATTAAAATGAAATAAAGGAGTAATTTGCTTTTAAGATTTTAAATACTATGAAATAGAGGAGTAATTTTTTAAGATTTGAAATACTATGAAATAGATGAGTAGTTTTTTAAGATTTGAAATAAAATTAAATAGGGGAGTAATTTGTTTTTTAAGATTTAAGATGATATGAATTAGAGGAGAAATGCGTTTATGGGATTTGAAATAATATGAAATAGAGGCGCATTTTGTGCGTAAAATTTGAAATAGAGGAATAATTTGTTTACAAGAAAAATGTTGAGTATTTTGTCTCCTGAAGATTTTCCGGCCGCCATAATGAATGAAAGGTTAACAATTAAATCTTTGTTTTTTTTTTGCTTCAATTCTCTCATCTATACTGCTTTCTTTATTTTTTTAATTTTCATCGCCCCTAAATTTTTAATTTTCATCGCTTGATATTATGAGATTCAATCAAAGCTCCAGAGTCATTCATTTTCAATAAATAAATCATTTCAATTTATTTATTTTGCAAGAAAATAGAAGGGCTTTTAATCTGCCCTTATTTATTTAATATTTTTCAATATTATTCTACGTATGTTTGTCTACTTATTACGAAAAATTCTCAGTAAAATGAATTTCAGTTTATTTACAGGATGATGATAGGAAATTTGATTAAAAGCAGGATGATTATGTACGGATGATGCTATTTGAACACAATTAAATGTTGATATATAATTTAGCGTTTTAATTTCGTGCGAAAAATTCGAATTCGTATTATTTTCCCTGTTAGTGAATACTGTTAGTGCAATAATTATTTCACTAATAGCATCATTTAGTTATCCTCTTATCTATTGAATGCACAAAGATTTCTTTCGTTAACTCTAATATTTTATATTTACTTGACGTTGCTCGAATCTTTAATTCACTTTATTTTTCTACCCTACCGCATTGGGTAGCTATTATCATATGGATCCGTTAAAGTCATAGCGATATGCAATATATGAAGTTCATAATGAACGGCAATTAAGAAAGAGTCTCCCCTGAAATACGCTGTGCTTGTGCTGGCATCGGAATTCGCGGGTGCGCAGTAAATGCAGTTGGAGTGCAACGCTCGGGTACATTGACTCTATATTTGTAACTTGCAAAGCTTGCCAAGCTGAAGCTTATTTAAAGATACCTACGTGCTCATTTCCCAGAGAAATTATTCCTATTCAAGGTTATCTTCTGAATTTATTGATAATCAGAGTCGGTTTATCTCTAGGCGCTGTAGGCCGTTAAATTGCTTGGGAGAAAAAAAGCTTTTTTCAACTTTACTTGAGTCTTCGCCCCTACGTAATCTTTGGTAATGTATTTCATTTTTGGATATAGTTTTTAAATTTTTGTACAACATTTAGCGCACTTAATTCATATTATTAATACTGGAGAATTTCATGAATAAAAGTTTTTTGCTGTCATTCTTAGAAGAAAGTAAATTTTTGCATCAAATGTTGAGTGGAAAAAGTGATTAGCAGCCACTTCAAGCCACACTGTCATGAGTGATTTTTGCAGCAATTGCCTGAGAAAATTTTGTAAATAATCACATAGGCAAATTTGTTGTATATATTTTGTATATTCGTACGTATTTTTGTATTTTGTTTGTATATTCGTACGAGATTGAATCGGGCCTTTTAATAATCTCGTAATCGAGCCGTAAATATCTATATTATCGAGCCCTAAATATTCATAATGAAATGCAAAATGTTTATTCGAAGCTATGACGTACTTGAGCAGAATAAATTCACTTGCAATATTGGAACTCCCGTATTTTTTCTGGCTTGCTAAAGATATCCTTTGGCAACTGCGAGGGATTCTCGCACACGATGAGCGGCATTTTCTCATTTATGGAAAAAAATGCAATATTGTGCTCGCCCGTCTGTCTGTCCGTCCGTCCGTGACTTCACGTTTTCGTCGACGAGAAAATGCGCTCTCTGTCACTCACTGCAGTGAGTACTGAGTTATATTTTTTCTGGCTTGCTAAAGATATCCTTTGGCAACTGAAATTATTCTTATTCAAGGTTATGTTTTTATTATATTGGATAATCAGAGTCGGTGTTAATTGCTATGAGCTGTGCGCCATTGCATTGCTTGAGAAAAAAATTATTTTTCACCTACACTTGAGTCTTCGCCCTAAGTAATCTTTGGCAATGCTTTTCATTTTCGGTATACTATTTAAATACTTCTAGCACTTTTCTTGTATTCAATTTCAGATAAATGATATTGGAGAATTTTCACGAATGAAACTTTTTTTGCCGTCATTCATTAAAGAAAGTTTGTTTTTGCACTATATGTTCGAGTGAAAAACGTGATCAGCAGCCATTTCAAGTAACACTGTCATGCTAGAAAACTCGCCATGAGTGTTTTCAAGCATGACACTCATGCTTAAAAAGAGTGATTTTTCAAGCATGACAGAGTGATTTCTCACTCTGTCTGTCTTGCTTGAGAGTGACCGAGTGATTTTTGACTGAGTTATTTTTGACATGGCGGAGTGATTTTTACAGCAAGTGCCAGGGGTAACTTTGTAAATAATCACAAAGGCAAATTGTTTGTATATTTTGACGGGACTTAGTTACGAGATTCGTACGACATTAAATCGAAGCATTTATTAAATTATTAAGATTATAAATATTTTTAATAAAATGTAATATTTTTATTTGAACCTATGATGTATTTGAGCAGAATAAATTCACTTGCAATATTAGAACTCCCGTTTTTTTCTGGCTTTCTAAAGATATCCTTAGGCAACTACGCTGGTCCCTCGCACACGTACACTGACGATGAGCGGCATTTTGTTGAAGCTTAGGGATTCCACCTGGCGATTGATATTAATCTTTTCCTGATTGTGAAAGATTTTCTCAAGTTTTTTATTCTTCGTTGAATTTCTTGGATATTATTGGCCTGTATTTCTTCTCTTCGCACTGCCGCAATAGTGAGAAAGATTGATAAATGTCTTTAACCGTTCGATAAGGTTTTTTATCTTGGTTCGTACCTGTTCAGTCTTTTCGGTTCGTGATTGTTCAGTCTTTCCGTTTTGTAATTTATTTAGTTTTATCTGTTCATGCTCATCTCATTTTTCTTGTTAATTTATATCTGTCTCGGGTTTTTGATTGAGATATTTACAGCCAGTTTACTGTGGAAATATACAGTTTATTTTGTGACTGATCATAATTTACTGCTGAATTATTTTCTATTGTACTTTTGTGTGTTTTTTAATAGTTATTTACATGCAATAATTAATGAACGATGCTAATCAAATGCAATTATCTTCTTTTCCTCAGAAATTATTAATTTTACCTCTGAACTACCTCACTCAAGTTTATTTTAACTCGTAAATTTGCGTTTTTTATTTGTCATATATTCCAGGTATCAAATAAATGTTTCTTTATTCATAGAGCATTTATTCAGAATATTATCATATACGAAATTGGTATATTTATTTATTTATTCTATTTAATATTAATATTATGAAATAAATAATATAATATATCAATATATTAAACTGAATTAAATTGAATTTAAATATTTAATAAATATATGAACCAACCATTTGAAGACGTACCATGAATGTATGAAATCGCGCAAATTTTTCTTCGAATTTCGTGAACCCGCGGCTGATACATCCGAAATTGCCACGTCCGCCATTGGCTTTATTTCGATTCAAGAAATTTATTTAACAGAAAAAAGATTCACTTCAATAATCGGAGATTTAAATAACAAACTTTACACAATCCGCGGTTATTTAAAAAACAAGGCTTTATGCCAATCATCGGTTTATCTGTTATTAAGAAAACAGACTTTGTGCTGAAATTTTTCGATTGAAAAGTTCGCTATCTATGGAGATCTGAGCAGCCAACGCTGATTTACGCCAACATTTACGCTGATTGTTGCGACATGCGCGCCAAACTCCACGAAGTTCTCAAGAAGCTGTCACGTATCCTGCACCGATATTCTCCTGTGATGCCATGTACGATGTGTGGTCTGCCATGTACGATGTGTGGTCTGCCATGTACGATGTCTGTCTCTTATACACATCTAGATGTGTATAAGAGACAGGCCATGTACGATGTGTGGTCTGCAATGTACGATGTGTGGTCTGCCATGTACGATGTGTGGTCTGCCATGTACGACGTGTGGTCTGCCATGTGCGATGTGTGTGGTCTGCCATGTACGATGTGTAGTCTGCCATATACGATGTGTGTGTGTCTGCCATGTACGATGTGTGGTCTGCTAGGGAGTGCGCACACTCAGAAAATGCACGGGTCACATTGTCTAGATAGTGACTCACTTGTATCACACACTACACACATGTGCCACTATAAATATAAATTCTGCACTCTGTTCCTTAATTAGTAATTCTATTTATTACTCAGCCTAGCGGTTAGAAAGAAAAAAAACAATTATTCCAGGTTGTTGATTTTACTTCTATTTTCATGTTTAACAATTTTTTCATTTGCACCTTATGTTCCGTAATTCATTTCATTTTTTCATCGTTTTTCATATCTTTGTAATCATCCCCTTCATCACAAATTTTAAATTTTTCCTGAATTTTCTTGAAATTTCATCTAGAATTTACATCCATAATTGAGTAAATTTTCCATCTATTTCTCATAACTATTCAATCCTCACAAACTCGCAAAAAATTAATTGTAGAAAAATCAAGTTTCTCACAAACAAAATTTATTGTAGGAAAATTTAGCTTCACACAAACAAAATTTATTTCAGAAAAATTTAATTCCTTCAAAAAAGTTTATTGTAGAAAAATTGAATTCCTTACAAACAAAATTTATTGTAAAAAAGTTGAATGCCTTCCAAACAAAATTTGTTGCAGAAAAATTGAACTTCCTACAAACAAAATTTATTGTGGAAAAATTTAAATCCTTACAAACAAAATATATTGTAGAAAAATTGAACGCCTTACAAACAAAATTTATTGTAGAAAAATTGAATTCCTTACAAACAAAATTAATTGTAATTTCGTTCGATTTCAGGCAGCGAATCGCCCCAGCCAGACCGGAAATTCCGAGTTCCAAGTTTAGCGGATATCCCAAAAATGTCCGCGGACGACGTCGGGGCCACAAACATGGCTTCGAACCTGAGCAAGCAGGAGCTACTGAGGCAGAACGAAATATCAGCGCCCTACGAAACACCGCAGTTCCCCATCGAACAGATCGAGGACAAACTGCAGCTGCAGAGGAGGTTTAATAAGGGGTAAGTGTATCAATANATGTGTGTGATTATCGGCCACAATTTTCTATTGCGTTGTAAACACTTACGAATTTTTTATATTATGTACTGGATTAGTCTCCGAAACGCAAATTTTATCCGCGTGAGTACACTGAAATGTGCCGATTTTTTTATCTTTCTGTGCCCTCATCAATACCAAATAATGTTATGACATTATAAACATTTATGATTAAATTTGTTCCTGATAGCCAAATTTATTGCTGGGTTATCGTTGATAGATTTCCTCCCATTTGTACCCAGCTAAAAGCTTAATCGAAGTCAATCCATTGATATGGAAAATTGTTATTCATTGATTAATAGTTTTTTATGATAAATATTGTTAATGAGGTAATGTACACGATTCAGGTTATACCGATTGTTTGTTTATTAACCGATGAATAAATCTTTGTTGAATGCAATCCATACATTTTACTGCAATATCGGAATTATTATTAGTAACTTTTTGGCTGCGTTCACTTTACTGGAGTTTCAGTTTATCAATGAATTATAATCATTTTACCGGTTTTAATTTTTTTGGCGCAAAAAACAATATTTTGCAAACGGACTTTTAAGCACTTGTTTCCGCGTTACTTTTGTGCAGATGTGTGCATTAAAAGTTTTTTCTTGCTTTCCGGTTTTTACTTGCTTGCTTCTAGGAATTTTGTTATTTCCTGTGGGTTTTCTTTTACTTATTTTTACAACGGATTGTTTTTTTTAATTTAAATTTGCTGCCATTTGAGATTCCGTACTTTTCATCCATAATATTGTGTTTTTTTTTTGCAGTCCCGCCTCACGTTCACTCTTCAACGTGTCCCACTAAATAGGTTTTATGTATATTTATCCCAATTGTAAAAATTTACGATGCCCCCTCAGTAAATGCGCTAGTTCGATTTTAAGAATTCAAGAATTCAATTTTGATCATTTTCTTTCATAATTACTCTGTTTTCCCCGAGCATTCCGATAGAATTCTGATGAAATTCTATTCTTCCCTATCTCTGTGATGAATTCTGATTGAATTCTACTGTGTAATTCCAGCATTCAAGTGCATTCTGATTTCACTAAAGCGTAAAATGATATCAATAATGAAAGTGATTGAAATTATATCAATAATTGTGGCTCTAATTAAACTTTGAGATTGAAAAGATGTATGACTTCTGTGCTGTTTACTCATCATAAGTATTTATTCCTCGTGAACTATGTGCTGCGTATTCATCCCCATATGGTAATTCTTCATGTATCTCATCCACCCATATATCAACTTGTGTCCCTTCAGTCAAGTGTTTATTCACTATTACTCATCACTCAAAAGTTTTTTTACCGACCACTTGAGTGTTTCACCCTCCACTCAAAGGTTTTTTTACCGACCACTTGAGTGTTTCACCCTCCACTCATGGGCAGACTCTTGGGCCGACGTCACGCGAACACCTGTGGCGCTCAGGGTACAAAGGCTGTAGCCTTCATTGCTAATGTATGTGGATAATTTAGATAACGCGATCTACATTATCGATAATGTAGATCTCACGACAATGTAGATCGCGCGATAATATAGATAACGTGATAATGTAGATCACGCGATAATATAGATAACGTGATAATGTAGATCACGCGATAATGTAGATCACGCGATAGTGTAGATCACGCGATTTTTTTTCAACTCTTATTCATTTCCAGCTTTGTATATTTAGGGAACCACCTCCTCATCTACGATTACGCATGCACGTGTATGTATATATCTTGAAAATGAATGGGTGTTATTGTCCAAATAGTGACGTATTCGTATTTTTTAAGTGTTTCGTATTTTGACAAAGTACCGTTAATTTGCGCAGCCGTATTAGTCGTTCCGTTAGTGTTCTGAATTTCATTACCAATTTGGTGTAAATGAACACAATCTACAGGATGTATCAAATATTTTCTCTCACTTGAACTATGAAAAAAATAAATATGGTCGCAGGCAAAAGTAAATTCAGTTTTCATTAAATTTTTACAATGGTATAATCACGAATAACGATCATCTTCTCTACGTACGGCTGGCGTCGTACGCAAGAAGAAAAAAGTCAGACTTTGCAAAGTTGATGAACAATTATATGTGTTTAGGCCAATGTCGTCAACGTGCTAAATTCAACATTATTAAAAGGTTCGTAAGATATACGTGCATTGACTGCGTGCTAGTTAGCCAGTAAATATGTACACAAAGTGTACGTGTATTTTTAATTTACCAAGGACAGAAGATGAATTGATTTGGTCAGGTTAGCCCTCAATTGAAGAACTTAATAAAAGCTGTGACATTTTCTGGCTGTTTGAATAGTAAATCCAATTCAAGAACTTGACGACACATAACACCATACGTAACACTGATTCGATACGCACAAGCGTTAATTTTATGATACACACAAGAGTTAATTTGGTGATAGAGATGAACGTTAATTTGGCGATACGCACATGCATTAATTTAAAGATACGCACATATCTAATGTGGCGATACGCACATGCATTAATTTAGAGATACACTCAAGTTCTAATTTGATGATACGCACAAGCGTTAATTAGACTATATATATTGTTTCCCGCAAGAATAAAAATATATTAGCCTCCCTCCCCTACACGGCCTTACATACGCAGCTAGTGACATGTCAGTTGTTTCCCTGTATAGCTCTTGCTCATGACAATGCTTGCAGCGCATATACAACGTATATATAAGTGTAGATATTCATATATATTTTCATGTTACAAAAAGTGGAGATGGTGCCAATGGTGTAGCAACAGCGCCAGTCTTGCTAAAGTTGTTTGTGAAGACACAAGTCGGTAGGCTCAAGGCTCGCTGCGATGGTGCTAGACTGTTTTATTGGGTTCGAAAAAGATAATTTTTTTCATGGTAGTTGTTCCCTATTGCATTATTTGTGCAGATAGTATACAGTTTCGATTTCGTATAGCATTTTTAAGTGAATAATGATTAAAAAACGCAGTGTTTTTATTGCCAACAAGTCAATTAGTTCCGTTAAACCCATTATCTTCACTTAATTTTTAAAATCTTCAGGCGAAATTTTCAATGAATCCATAAGGTTTGAACTAAATTTTCAACGTATAAAAACTTTGGAAATTTAGATAATGTAAAAAGTTTGAGCTTGTATATATCATGATAAAAACTTTGGAAATTTTGATAATGTAAAAAGTTTACGCTTGTATATGTCATGATAACATTTTTTGCACGTTAAACATATTGTGATGGCCACCATCTTTTGGATCATGTTATTGCCAATTCAGTTGCTATTTATGCGCTGTTATTATTGATACAAAAATTTTTATTGTAATGTAGAAGTCTGATTATTATTTAAATGTATTTAATGATTTAAATCGTCTGCAGAAGCCGCCGCCATGGGTAGCTTTTAGTCAGTCACGCTGTTTTTTATAGCACGTGCATGTTGTTGTTGCTGTTGTTGTTGTTGTTGTTTGTTGTGTTTGTTGTTGTTGCTGTTGTTGTTGTTGTAGTTGTTGTTGCTGTTGTTGTTGTTGTTGTTGTAGTTTGTTGTTGTTGCTGTTGTTGCTACTGCTGTTGTTGCTACTGCTGTTGTTGTTTGTTGTTGTTGCTGTTGTTGTTGTTGCTGTTGTTGTTGTTGTTGTTGTAGTTTGTTGTTGTTGCTGTTGTTGCTACTGCTGTTGTTGTTTGTTGTTGTTGCTGTTGTTGTTGTTGTTGTAGTTTGTTGTTGTTGCTGTTGTTGCTACTGCTGTTGTTGTTTGTTGTTGTTGCTGTTGTTGTTGTTGTTGTAGTTTGTTGTTGTTGCTGTTGTTGCTACTGCTGTTGTTGTTTGTTGTTGTTGCTGTTGTTGTTGTTGTAATTGTTGTTGCTGTTGTTGTTGTAGTTTGTTGTTGTNTGTGGTCTGCCTTGTACGATGTGTGGTCTGCCATGTACGATGTGTGGTCTGCCGTGTACGATGTGTGATCTGCCATGTACGATGTGTTGTCTGCCATGTACGATGCGTGGTCTGCCATGTGCGATGTGTGGTCTGCCATGTACGATGTGTGGTCTGCCTGGGACTACCCACACTCAAAAATTCGATGGTCATATTGTCAAAATAGTGACACACTTGAAACACACAATACACACATGTGTCACTATAAATATAAATTTTGCCCTATGTTACTTAATTACTAATTCTATTTATTACTCACCCTAGCGGTTAGAAAGAAAAACAATTATTACAGGTTATTGATTTTGTTTTTATTTTAATGCATAAGAATTTTTTCATTAGACATTATGTTTCGTAAATCATCTTATTTTTCATCGTTTTTCCTTTCTTCGGTATCATCCCTTTCATCAAAAACTTAATTTTTTCTGAATTTTTCATAAATTTAATCTAGAATTTCCAACATAATTAAAAAAATTTTCCATCTATTTCTCATATCAATTCCATCCTTACAAACTCACAAAAAAATTTATTGTTGAAAAACCGAGTTTCTCACAAACAAAATTTATTGTAGAAATTTGAGGTCCCCACAGACAAAATTTATGGCAAAAAATTTAGTTCCTCACAAATAAAATATATTGTAGAAAATTCGAGTTACTCACAAACAAAATTTATTGTAAAAAAATTGAGTTCCTCACAAACAAAATTTATTGTAGAAAAATTTAATTCTTTAAAAGCTAAATTAATTGTAATTTCGTTCAATTTCAGGCAGCGAATCGCCCCAGCCAGAAATCTGTCTCTTATACACATCTAGATGTGTATAAGAGACAGATATATATGTAACCAACCATTTGACGTGTACCATGATTATATGAGATCGTGTGCACCACACAAATTTTTCTTCGAATTTCGCGAACCCACTGCTGATTATCTCGTAGTTGCCACGCCCGCTAGTGGCTTTACGTCGACTATCGGAAATTTATTTATCAGAAGAAAGACTCACTCCTATCAGAATAACAAAATTTACGCAATCCGCGTTTTTTTACAAAACGAGGCCTTATGCCAATCATCGGTTATTATAGGAAGGCAGACTATGTACTGAAAAATTTAGATTGAAAAGGCAGGTTAGCGATCATTGGAGATTTCAGCAGCCAACACTGATTGTTGCCAACACTTACGCTGATTTACGCCAACATTTACGCAGATTATTGCCTATATTTACGCCGATTTACGCCAACATTTATGCTGATAATTGCGACATGCGCGGAAAACTCCAGGAAGTTCTCAAGAAGCTGTCACGTATTCTGCACCGATATTCTCCTGTGATACCATGTACGATGTGTGGTCTGCCATGTACGATGTGTGGTCTGCCATGTACGATGTGTGGTCTGCCTCTCGACCCTCAAGTCGTTATTGAATTTGACATTGTGCAAAGGACCACTCCTAAGCACAACAGATCAGCAAGAGGCATATCGATTACGTTTCTCATTTATAATAGTTTACCAATTAATTTAAAATGGTTTACCGATTTAAAATAGTTTATAAATGGTTTATTTTCCCCTCAATAACCGAGTAACAAAAGTTATTAGAATGTTAATTATCTCCGGCGCACAAAGTATTGTAAAAATCTCTCTGTAATAATAAGTCATCTGTAATAAGTAATAAGTATTCTGTAATAAGTAATAAGTAATCTGTAATAAGTAATAAGTAATCTGTAATATTGTAATACTAATCTCTCCTCCCCAGACCGTTCCCCCGGTTCGACGCCGTAGATTCATCACAGGAAGGCCCAGAAGCCCCGGCCTCCCCATCCTTCGAGGACGACGAGCTCACCCCGCACTACCAGCGCCTCTACGTCACTGGCGAGGAAACTAATAACGTGAGTTAACACATATAGTTTTTATCATTGCTATTTTCTTTTTTTAGTTTTCTTAGTTCATTTTTTTTATCATTGCTATTTTCTTTTTTTAGTTTTCTTAGTTCATTGTTTTTAAGGTTATTTGCATATTTTCGATATTAGTTTCTTGATTCATCGCTATTTTCTTTTTTCGTTTTCTTAGTTCATTGTTTTTAAGATTATTTGCATATTTTCGATATTAGTTTCTTGATTCATCGCAATTTTCTTTTTTTAGTTTTCTTAGTTCATTATTTTTAAGATTATTTGCATATTTTCGGTATTAGTTTCTTTTTTCATCGCTATTTTCTTTTTTTAGTTTTCATAGTTCATTATTTTTAAGATTATTTGCATATTTTCGGTATTCGTTCCTTGTTGTTTTTATGTCTTTGGAGCGGCAACTTCTTTAGGTACTTTTTCTCTAATTGAAAAATATTATTTTCTTTTCATTGTGCACAGTTTTTGGTTTTAAAATGTTCGTATAATTTTTCCATCATGTGTGTGCTTATCGGCCGCAATTTTCGATTGCGTTGTAATCCATCTTACAAATTTTTATATTATGTACTGGATTAGTTTCCAAAACTTAAATTTCATCCGCGTGAGTACACTGAAATGTGCCGATTTTTTTATCTTTCTGTGCCCTCATCAATACCAAATAATGTTATGACATTATAAACATTTATGATTAAATTTGTTCCTGATAGCCAAATTTATTGATGGGTTATCGTTGATAGATTTCCTCCCATTTGTACCCAGCTAAAAATGTATTGAAATCGAAATCAATCCATTGATACGGAAAATTGTCATTCATTGATTAATAGTTTTTTATGATAAATATTGTTAATGAGGTAATGTACACGATTCAGGTTATACCGATTGTTTGTTTATTAACCGTTGAATAAATCTTTGTTGAATGCAATTCATACATTTTACTGCAATATCGGAATTATTATTAGTAATTTTTTGGCTGCGTTAACTTTACTGGAGTTTCAGTTTATCAATGAATTATAATAATTTTACCGGTTTTATATGTTCTTTGCCGCACAAAAAATATTTTACAAACGGAGTTTTATTTATTTGTCTCCGTTGCTTTTTACTATTATTCTGGAGCCAGGTTTGTGCATTAAACGTTTTTTCTTGCTTTCCGGTTTTCGTTGGCTTGCTTTTAGGAACTTTTGATATTCCCTCTATGGTTTCTTTTACTTATTTTTCACAACGTATTGCTTTTATATATCCAATCAAATATCTACTTGTGTCCCTTCAGTCAAGTGTCTATTCTCTATTATTCACCACTCAAAAGTTTTTACCAACCACTCGCGTGTTTCACTTTCCACTCGAAAGTCTTTCTCAAGCCACTCGAGTGTTTTTACCACCAATCACAAATTTTTTACCAACCATTCAAGTGTTTCACCTTACACTCAGAGGTCTTTTACCAACAACTCAAGTGTTTCACCCTCCACTCAAAGGTCTTTTACCGACCACTCGAGTGTTTCACTTTCCACTCGAAGCTCTTTTACAAACCACTCAAGAGTTTCACCCTCTACTTAAAGGTCTTTTACCAACCACTTAAGTGTTTCACCCTACACTCGGAGGTCTTTTACCGACCACTCGAGTGTTTTTCTACCTGTCACAAGTTTTTTATCAACCACTCAAGTGTTTCACCCATCACTCAATTGTCGTTCACCCACCCCTATAATGTTTTACCCACCAATCGAAATTCCTTATACACACTTGAGGAATTAATGTCTCTCACAATTATAACTCTTAACTATGAGGAGTCCCATTCATCACTCACGTGTCTCACTCACAATTTGAAGGTGTGAGTAACACCTCCCTCATCGCCCCAGTGTCTCACTCACCATTAAAATGTCGCACTCATCACTCAAGTGTCTCTGTCTCACTCACTGCTCGCAGGAGTCTCATCACGTCGACGGAACTGAGAAGCAGCGAAAGGTGAGGACACTTTTGAGACACTTATAGTGACTGACACACTTACGAGACACTTGTAGTGACGGAAACACTTACGAGACACTTTGAGTGACGGAAACACTTATGAGACACTTGTAGTGACAGACACTTACGAGACACTTGTAGTGACGGACACACTTACGAGACACTTGTAGTGACGGTCACACTTACGAGACACTTGTGGTGACGGACACACTTACGAGACACTTGTAGTGACTGACACTTACGAGACACTTGTAGTGACGGACACACTTACGAGACGCTTGTAGTGACGGAAACACTTACGAGACACTTTGAGTGACGGAAACACTTATGAGACACTTGTACTGACTGGAACACCTACGAGACACTTGTAGTGACGGACACACATACGAGACACTTGTAGTGACGGAAACACTTATGAGACACTTGTAGTGACGGTCACACTTACGAGACACTTGTAGTGACAGACACTTACAAGACACTTGTACTGACTGGAACACTTACGAGACACTTGTAGTGACGGTCACACTTACGAGACACTTGTAGTGAAGGACACACTTACGAGACACTTGGAGTCACCAGGCATCTGACATTAAAACAACGCTGATCAATCGTTGTTTTAACGAAAACAACTCTTAATCAGCATTGTTTCAACATCATTTACGAGAATTATTAAATTTCGGACGCGTTTCAGTTCCTCGTCGGCTGCGACATCCATATGAATTAAGAGTATTCACAGTTTTACTCACCAATTGCTATTATTAATTATAAATCTTTAATTATTCCCAGTTTTGTTCACTAATCGTTGTAATTAATTAGATTTTCCCTAATTATATCCAGTGTTTGATCGCGTTTTGTGGTGCTGCACTAAATTTGTCTGCACTCTTCAATGTCTCTCTCAGGCGCGGAATTTTTTCGTGTGTGGATTTTTTATCCTTATAAAAAATTACAAATCCAACCGTGGACTAATTTTTTCTTACGGTTTTGCGTTGTCTTTGCTTTTATAGTATAAATTTAACGGAGAGATCGCGTCAAGTTAACTATTGATATTGTTTTGTAATGCATGTTTAGATTTAGGATTCTGTTTTCCTTCCTTCCCATGTTTTTACGTTACAGAAATTTTCATTGATTTTTTGAAGGAAAATATTAAAGCCAAGTATAACCAATGGCCGACTTTTTACCCGAGTTCGACATGCCAATATGAATAATTATCCAATCATTTATTGTTTCACTTAGTTTTATTCAATTTTGTTATTATTTAAGTGACTAAAATTTTTGGGTCTTCCTAATTTAATTTAGCTGTTCATGTATAATTAATTAAGTTAAATTTCTTTAATTGTCCGTTATTATCATTTAGTGAATAAATACCTCAGTATTTTATTCACTTACGCCATCTCCATTGTTTTAACTTAATTAAATGCTAGTTACTCAAATACGAATAATATGATTAAGTAATATTTTTGTTAAATTATATTCACAAAGAGAAGATGTTAAGTTATTAATACTCAATTAAAGTTCATATCATTCATTATATTTTCTTTGTATGCATTAATCAAAGAAATAAAGTAAGTGACCGAGTAATTATCAATATATTTTAATATTAGTAATAATATGCAGGAAATGCGATACTGTGTTTAATTATTACGCTTCAGATGAACGCTTCATGCTTGCAATCTCTAAATTAAAAATGCATGTTTCCTAAAATTTAAAAAAATCTAGTTCACTTGATAATTCATGCTTGAATAAATATTTCAAGCTTTATTAAATTATTTTAATTGACGTTGAGGGCAGGGACTTCAAAGTGTTGATGGATTTTTTGGGCATTAAATTTTCCAATTACTAATGATTGATTTCTGTACTAGTTTGTGTTTCTATTCTTTCCTCAATTAGGAAGTTTTCTTTTCGATCCCCTGGAATTAAACGTTCTTTTGCCTAGATATTTATTTATCATCACGTTATATAATTCAGGTGTAGAATTTGTTTTGAAAAGAGACTAGTTTTTGTTGTTCCTCGTTTCGTGTTTACAATTTATTCGTTTACCGCCCGAAATATTCGCTGTTGATAACTAATTTTCAACCAATATTACAAAGAATTAAACATGCGCCGAATATCGATTGTTTTCTACTTAAATATCAGTTAATTGTGTTAATTGATAACATGTTTTGTCAGCATAATTGTCTTTAGTCTCTACCTGTTGCATTGGATGTGATGTCTAACTAGCTGATTAGTTCAATAACCGTATGAATAACATTAGGAATATTATTATCATGCATGGGAGGTAATTAATTTTATACTACCTAACTCCCTCAACTCAGGTAAGATTAGCATTACAAGAGAAAGATACAATTTGCCTGTCAAGCCGGTAACAAATCGTTGTGCTTAGTAGAAATAACGTAAAAATACCTGACGGGGATGAATCGGATATTTGATTAACTGAATAATTAAATTCAGGAAGGAATAGCACTGCGAGACCGAAAGTAAAATTACCCGCAATGTTGTGAAGTGTAAAGGTTGAAAAGCATGTGAGTTTAATATATTCATATTCCCTTTACCCAGTCTCTCCTCGCCAGCGCATTCACTGATGTGAGTGACTCAAAGCTCGGCATTTCCACCCTTGTTCGCGTCCGCTTCCTCATATACAGCTTTCCTCAGTATAAATATACTGTATACAGCTTTCCCCAGTATAAATATATATTACAGCTTTCCCCAGTATAAATATACTGTATATGATTTGTTGAGATATACAATAGATTTTAAATTATTTATTAATTAGTTATACTGAAGCTGTGTTAGAGTTTTATTAATTTTGTGTATATTTTCTGAGATTTGAAAGTGATTTGGATTCCTTGTAATGAATTCTGCTTAAACTTTATGTTCAGATCTTATTAATTTTGTTGCGCCATTGTTACTTCATTGTAAGTTGCCATTATTTTTAAGTTTTTATATGCTATAATGCCGAAATTTCAATTTAAATTTAATTCAATTTTGTTTACTATATTTTTTATAACCGTGGTCAGTGTACACACAGATTTTATTATTATTATTATTAGTTAACTATTAGCATAATGTAAATGGTTGCCAATCCTATTGTAGTATAATTGTTAGTGTTTATGCCGAGCAATTTTTAGTGATTATTATCTTAAATGGACTAATGTGTTTACGTCATATTAACGAATTATAAGGTAATTATTGGACATGGTCAAGTCAATCTAATTATTCGTTGCTGCTAATATTGCGCTAATCAACTGCCGAATATTGAACTAATTAGCGACTTGTAGTTATATGCCAAAGTGAAACATTTTAGTTATCAAGAAGAACTAATTTTTTGTAGTATTTCAAGCGCATTCATTCAGAAACCATCCACCTAATTGCAGTCATAGGTAATCTTCTTTAATTAAGAATTAATTAAAGAATTAAGAATTTTATTAAGAATTGAATAAGCACAACTTTGTTCGTTAGTGAGTTTTACCGTGAATTGTTTGGTATGTAAGGTGGTACGCTAGTGACTACAGTAAAATGGTTTTGATAGTACGTAATGGTAGTATAGTGCTGTAGAATCAAACATGTAAATAGTAGCAATGTTTATCTAGATTTAAACTTCGACTGTTAATTGGCTCTATATTTATTACTCAAAATTGTGAGAAGTATACGCTTCAATTCCACACTTTTGCGTATTGTATATAAATAAATAAAGAAACCGGCGTTGCAATATGGCGTCCTTGTCGCATTCTTAATTTCGTCTATTTATTTCAGGTTATTTTGAACCTCTCGTTATTTAACCTAATTTTCCTCCCTTCACACAGGGTTTCATCAAGTATTTTTCAAGTTAAGATAACACAAATTAGTTAAATTTACTAGGTTATAGCACAAACATAACAAGAATTTGAAGGTANAATAGTAGCAATGTTTATCTAGATTTAAACTTCGACTGTTAATTGGCTCTATATTTATTACTCAAAATTGTGAGAAGTATACGCTTCAATTCCACACTTTTGCGTATTGTATATAAATAAATAAAGAAACCGGCGTTGCAATATGGCGTCCTTGTCGCATTCTTAATTTCGTCTATTTATTTCAGGTTATTTTGAACCTCTCGTTATTTAACCTAATTTTCCTCCCTTCACACAGGGTTTCATCAAGTATTTTTTAAGTTAAGATAACACAAATTAGTTAAATTTACTAGGTTATAGCACAAACATAACAAGAATTTGAAGGTATATAGAGGCGCTTTGTTTTCTAGATCTGAAGATTCTTGCCTAAGTAAAGCTCCCATTTTAAGTCGGAATAAATTATTCAATTATAAATGAAACAAGTGATTTATAATTGAAATATAATTTTCGGGCTTCTGGAGATTCCGTGACAACAGGCATCATTCGTCACCTGTACATTCCTCACCTGTACATTCCTCACCTGTATATTCCTCACCTGTACATTCCTCACCTGTACATTCCTCACCTGTACATTCCTCACCAGTACATTCCTCACCACTCTTACCCAGCTGCCCCATTTTTCCCCAATAATCAGCAATTAATCACCTATACTCACCTTTCTCGTCCTCAGCTGACCGTAAAGTTAGTAAATTTTTTTATAGTAGTCACCCTTACTCACCTCCTTACTCTCCACCCACACTCTCAACTATTCACCCACCACTTAACTCTCTCCTCCTTACTTTTCACCCTCATTCACTCCCCGCCCGCACTCTTCACTCACCCTCTCACTACCCACTCTCCTTCTCACTACCCACTATCCCTCTCACTACCCACTATCCCTCTCACTACCCACTATCTCTCTCACTACCCACTATCTCTCTCACTACCCACCATCCCTCTCACTACCCACTATCCCTCTCACTACCCACTATCCCTCTCACTACCCACTATCCCTCTCACTACCCACTATCTCTCTCCCTCTCACTACCCACTCTCCCTCAGGTCCCCATCGAGGATATATCGAAGTCCTCGAAGCTGCTGGTGGAGGCCCTGAGTCTGAGGGAACGCTACATGGTGTGGTCACAGCAGACGTTCCCCTCGACCGCCCAGCGGTTCCTGAGGGAGGCTGGGGTCGCCGACCCTCGGCATGAGAACTACCCTACCCTCGGCGACCACCATGACACCGAGAGCAAGAGTATTGAAGGTAATGAGTTAGATTTTCCCTCTAAAAGGCCCGATTTATTTCCCTTTGTTTAAAACATAATTTTTTGCCAATTGTTAATTATCTACTTATCCATATTTCAAAACACCACTATCCCTATATATATATATATATATATAACACCACTATATTTCAGCCCTAGTCTCTCATTTTTGATTTAGGTTGAAGAAAAAGTCTTACAATAACAATAGGGAAACAATTAATAATAATTCAAGAATTAAATTTCTCCTATATTAATTTTGTAATTTATAAGAACATAATGTTAGGTTTCCAACGGCCATGTTGCTCCCTCGCAGATCTAGACGACTACTACGAGCGCCTTGTTCGTTGGGGGTCTGAATCCCCCCCGCCCTTCGAGGGGGGAAACCGTAAGCCCCCCCCAGTTCAGTTAAACTTGATCGTCAACGCGGAGTAAAAATCGTTGTCCTGAAAATTAGAATAAATAACTAATTGGTCGTCCAAATTAGAATAAACTGTATGAAAACCCAGTAAAAGTTCATAAAAAAAATAATTTTGAAAACGAAAAAAAAAAATTTAGTAAAAAGCATAAGGAACACAACTGTAGCCGAAATTAAAAACTATTCCTAAATTAGGTTTATATCGTCAAGGCAAGATGCAAATTTTGATCAAAAAGCTATCGCAATCATGGACCGTTGATTTCAATTAATGAACCCCTGCGAATAATGACTAATAATTTTGAGCATTTTGCTGCTGAGCAAGGATTGCACTCGAGTGATAATCGAGCACAATAATTTATCGAAACGAGATTTCAGGAGACAGGAAAATGTGATGACGAAATCGTAATCGTCAATCCTAATCAGCTGCAACAAAATTCATTCAAACACTGTCTTATTACCATAAAATCAAAACCAAAATAGAGTTAAATATCATTTGAGACTTAAAAATCAATCCACATAATTACTTAAAAAGCTTATAGAAAAAAAACTATAATTGACACGCGATATCTACCTACGTTACGACGATCAAGTTGAACTGCATGGCAGTTTGTTGAGTTTGGGATACATTAACTTATTGATGCCTTTACCGACCAAGGTGTAGTAATGGTTACCGAACAAATAATTTAATTACCTAATTAAAACCCAAATCAAATATATATAACAATATAATAAAAAAAGGATAGATTGATACATTTAGGACTTTTGTTTTAGAGGATAACGGAACTTTTACAACAACAAGGTAGGGTAGCTCCCTATATACGTGTCCAGCGGATACGTTCACGAAAAATAGATAGACAAAAGTCTACAATATATCGATCGCTTTATCTACCTCTCACGCCTTGCAGATAACAATACAGAATATGATAAAGAATATGCAGTATGTTCCTTCTCATTTTGAAATAACATTGTATGACAGCTACACATATTCCGATTTTGTATTTAAGATCGAAGGTAAATATAAAATCGGGAGATTGTATTAAATACTGAAGGTCAAAATTTTATAGATATTTAACCAACTTAAATTGTTAATGGAAAAGGAACTTACATAGATTGTAATTTTTGATTAGGAATAATCAATATTTTTACTTGCGGTTGTTTTGATTGATTAGAATTAATTGTTAGCACATCATTTTGATTTGCCAAAATCAACTTTTAAAATTGAAGTGAATTTGAAAGTTAAGAGGCAGAGAGGAAAATTCAAAATCGGATGCCACTTAGAATTTTAATGTTCAGCCCCTACGAAAAAGTAGGTTCGAAAATGAATTGGAAATACTCAAGATTATCAACAAAATATTTAAAGGTTATTTTCTTGATCGGTAAAGGTTTGGATGGTGAACTTCCCTAAATTCCTTGCTTAAGCAGAGAATTTTGAGTGTGTGCCAAGTGTGATATCACAAACACTTAAGTGTGCTGTGTGTGATAGCACAAAACATTTTGTGTGCTGTGTGACATCCGGCTGCAAACAAGTAGATCTTAAAAAAATATAACTCAGTACTCACTGCAGTGAGTGACAGAGAGCGCATTTTCCCGTCGACGAAAACGTGAAGTCACGGACGGACGGAAAGACGGACAGACAGACAGACAGACGGACGGTCATGGCGAGTACAATAGTGCATTTTTTCCATAAATGAGAAAATGCGATAAAGACAGATGGATGTCAACAAATCTATGTGTCTTTAAGTCAAATTCATTGTACATATATAGTGAATGTCCGTCTAAAAATTCTGATACTGCGATCAAACAACTTTACGTATTTTTTAGGCAATGACCGTGGTGTACCGACTTTCACTTCTACCTATACATCAGTGATTTTCACACGGGTGTTCTAAACTTCAATTCATCTTGTTTTGCGAATATGTCTATTGTATCAAAATAACGATATCATAGTGGAAATTTCCGGCATCATGTTGTGATGAAAAAATTCATCAAGAAATAATACATGTTTTTCTCAATGAATGCTTGATAATATTTTCCATTCAGTGTTTACTTAACTCTCTCAATTGTAAAACCATCGATCGTTGCCTAATATTTTCGACTTGATCGAGAGCATTTTAGGATAGAGAATAGTGACAATAATGTTGAATGCTAGAAAAGAGCGTTCTATTCTAACGCAGGGTTTTGTTTGAACGTTATTTCAGCCATTTAATCACATAATAGTACGCACATTTAACCTTCTGCAGAGACTTAACCCTTAAGTGTGGAATGAATCTTTACCAGTTTATGGTGACCTTGTTCTGTTTCAATAATTGTGATTTTTGTTACTAGTGTGTTTTTTGTTACTATTCACACTTTTTTACACATATTACAATTTTTTAAATCATTCACTTATACAGGCTTATTTTCTATGCACTACTTGATCAATTTCCTGTACTATTTACCGCACTTCATACATCCTATACACGATTTGTGTAGTGTAAGCATTATTTTTTCACAACTCATTCTTTACACGATTTGTACAATTTGAACTCAATTAATTATTTCTCTGTACATTCTATCCACGATTTATGTATTGCAATCATTTTTTTTTTCACAACGATGCCCACACTCTATTTATGGATTATGATCACTATTTTTCACTACACATTCTATACACAATTTATGCATTGCGATCACTTTTTTCACTACTAATTCCAAACCCTATATATGGATTGTGATCACTATTTTTAACTACACATTCTAAACACAATCTATGCATTGCAACCAGTTTTTCACTACGAATTCCGCACCCTATATATGGATTGCCATCACTATTCATCACAACACATTCTATATAAATTTATACATTATAAACACTATTTTTATCGTTATCCACGCCCCAGACCACCCAGTCCACCCCCCTCGGCGAGACAACCCCTGGAGTGTACCTACCCCCGGCGACTGTGGTTACAAACTGAAATTCGTCGATGGAGTCTTTCAGGTTGGAGTTATTCAGTAGCAATAGCGTTAAAAATAGTCAATTTAAAAATGACACAAATTTTCCTTGTCAATTTAAAAATGAAAAATTTTTCGTTGGAAAAATATTGAAAAAATCTTGACAAATAATGATAATTTTTAAAGTGTTAACATTTTTGTTGGGTTCAAATCATCGAAAATTATTGAATAGTAATAAGTAATAACAGTTTTAGAAGTGTTAACATTTTAGTTGGATTCAAATCCTTCAAAAATATAGAATAATTATAATAGTTTTAAAATTATTAACGTTTTTGTTGGAAAATTATTCTTCAAAATTCTTCGAATGCTTTAGCTTTAATTTTCTTAGAATTTGAGGACTTAATAATCGACTGTCGTTACAAATTTAACTGTAAATGAATTATACATAAATGTGATATTTATGAGAAATATATCTGTTTTCTGTAGAATTGTTCTCATTTCAGTAGAACCAATCTGAAAATGTAAATTAATCTCGTCCCGATTAAATTAATTAAAACGACTAAATTAAATAAATCTGAAATTAAATAAAATTAAGACGATTTTCGTGAGGTCCTAATGAAAATCGTCGCCTATCTACGGTTCTTTGGTCTCTTATAGGTTTGCTCTATTAGATTTTTTCAATATACTCGAGCCTATTTGAATTAAAATGAATAATATCAAGGCACATGCAATGTTCTGGGCATCTGATTAAGACACACACGACCTCCAGGGGCACGATAGGCCAACTCGCTAATTCGGGTTACTCTAACATACTAACGTCCTTTATTTAATAATTTCGGTATTTCGACGCGTTTGATTATTCGTTATTCGATGCTTTTGGAAGCATTGTGTAGATAACAGCTTCAGGAATACCTGGACCAAGCCAGCCTTGACTCAGACTCACCCCTGCCTTACTCTTGTTTTCCCAGGTATACGAGGACCAAGCCAGCCTTGACTCAGACTCACCCCTGCCTTACTCTTGTTTTCCCAGGTATACGAGGACCAAGCCAGCCTTGACTCAGACTCACCCCTGCCTTACTCATACCCCAACTTGTCTCGCTACATCACGGACCTTAACCTGATGTGTGCCCTCATCGCCAACGGTCCCGTGAAGAGTTTCTGCTACAGGAGACTGCAGTATCTCCTCTCCAAGTACCAACTCCACGTACTGCTTAATGAGATGCGCGAACTGGCGGCGCAAAAAGCTGTACCACACAGGGACTTCTACAATATACGAAAGGTGCGTGTTTTTCCTGGAAATACGGGCTGTATGATATCTTGAAGCAATAATGAATGCTAGGTAGTGAATATATTAGATCAATAGACTGGAAAAATATCAATTAACTGCTACACTAAGCTGCACTTGCGACAGTATTTTCACTTGCAGCAGTGGATGCTTTTTCCTTTACTGTTATCACATCTTTTGTAGTTTAATTCTTATTTGTTATTGTAATATTCATCTAGACTAGGCAATAGAAAAGTTGTGTTCAATAAGCTTTGAAACTAATTATCTTTAAGTATTTTCAATTTGATTCCAACACCACGTAAAATAATTTAAATATCCTGATTTTGCGGAAAATTTATGTTCATTAATATTGGACAGTATAATGCAGGAGGAATATTGCACATCCACGCCAGGTCCTGCATGAACCTGATGTATTTGCTGAGCTAATTATATTATTCTATTATTACTATGTTATTTAATAATTCAGGTAATATAACATTTTATTGCTTTATTATTGCTGATTATTATATTGCAGGTGGATACGCACATCCACGCGGCGTCTTGCATGAAGCGGAAGTATTTGCTGCGCCAATTATATTATTCTATTATTATGTTATTTAATAATTCATATAATATATTATATTATTATATCATTACTAATTATTATATTGCAGGTGGATACGCACATCCACGCGGCGTCTTGCATGAACCAGAAGCATCTGTTGCGCTTCATCAAGAAGGCCATGAAACTGCACCCTGACGAGGTCAATTATTTTTATTTTTAATTGTTTTTTGTATTATTTTATTCATTTCTGAATGATTGAAATCGTGGTAATAACTGTTCATGTAACTATATCAAATATTTTTTATTCTGTACGGCTATTTTCATGAGCATTACATTTAAATTCACTACTAAAAACTTTTTAGACATCCAAAACATTTACCCATTTAAAATTGACTTACAAGGTTTACATAAGATAATCAGTACAAAACCAAATAATAAGTTGGTGTTAAAAATTATTAGATGACAGATATTTAAAATTATTTTTGAAATTAGGCAAAGGGATTCAAGAAAACTGCTACGCCAATGAAAGCAAAGCAGATAAATATTTTATGTAAAATGTCTCTTTCATAACAAATCGCTACTTTTTATTCAAACAAGTATTTTTTATTAATAAAGTAATATTTTTGAATATAATTAATTAAGGCAATAATACAGAATGCTGCAGGTTGTGTGACAGGGCTCGTATGGCAAGGAGAAACATTTTTTTCGGATTTTTCGTCTAGAAAAATTTATCAGTTTGAAAAATTTTTCATTTTGAAAATTTTTTCAGTTTGAAAATATTTTCAGTTTAAAAATTTTTCGTTTTGATTTTTTTTTCAGTTTAAAAACTTTCTTCCGTGGATTAAAATATGTTTGCATCTAATAAACTTAATAATAAATAATAAGAAGTCCTGGTGCAGTTTGTGTGAGAGAGCATGTATGGCAATGAGAAACATTTTATTCGGATTTTTCGTCCAGAAAAATTTTTCAGTTTTGAATTTTTTCAGTTTAAAAATTTTCCTTCATGGATTTAAATATGTTTGCATGAAATAAACTTAATAAATAATAAGAAGTGCTGGTGCAGGTTGTGTGTCAGGGCTCAGACGGCAAGGAGATGACACTTGCTCAAGTGTTCGCCTCCATGAACCTCACCGCGTACGACCTCTCCGTGGACATGCTGGACATGCACGCTGACCGCAACACCTTCCACAGGTGANTCAGTATAAATATGCTGTATACAGCTTTCCTCAGTATAAATATACTGTATACAGCTTTCCCCAGTATAAATATACTGTATATGATTTGTTGAGATATAAAATAAATTTTTAATTATTCATTAATTAATTATATGTTTGGTTAAAAATAATGCCAGTTTTATTGAGGACATCTTTTGACTTTAATCTCTCAAGCTTACTTATTAATTAATTATATTGAAGCTCAGTGTTAGAGTTTTATTAACTTTGTGTTATTTTCTGAGATTTGAAAGTGGTTTGGATTTCTTATATTTAATTCTGCTTAAACTTTATGTTCAGATCTTATTAATTT